TATATATTTGGGGTATGTTTCAGTCTAATTACAGCTATAATGACCCTAACGTTGTATTCGGGGGAAGAAGGTAGATGTATGCAATGAACGAATTCCATTCCATATTACCTGGGGCTGGGCAACTGGATGACCATATCTCAAGGATGTCCCCCTTGTTCTGAAAAAGAAGAAAGGAAGAGGTGGTGGGGGGGGAGGGGGACCGTAGGCAGTTTCAGTTTTGACCCCCGGCTCTCATATTTTTCCAAGCCTTTTCAGATTTTTTTCTGAATTTTAGCCTATCTTATGAGGAAAGTCTTGAGAATGCCTTAGGATTCTGGGTACCTCTTGCAACTCGTTTTACTTTTTTTTTTTATAATGATGTCATATTCATGGATCTGCGGTTTTTCGATGCCAGAACGACGCTGGCCGGAGCTGGGGGGTTGCCCTGTAACCTGTTGATAGCAGGAGCGTGAGGCCTGGTGGAGAGATCTGGGGATGCCTTGGGGACGGCATTCCAAGGGAAAACCAAGGGTTGCTGTCGGTACGACGCTGGCCGGAGCTGGGGTGAGTTGTGTTGCCCTGTAACCTAGCAGGGATGGGGGCATGAGGCCTGGGAAAGCTCGGCAGGGAATAAGACAGTGTTCGAGAATTTTAGAATGTTTTGTTGGGGATTCCGGAGGTTCTGAGCATTCAAATGGCTTCTGTGGCTTTCCGTTTTGACTTAGTAAGTGCTGCGTGAGTAGCCTAGCAATAGGTTAGCAGTTATCCATGTTTTTCCTAAATTTTCTAGAATCTGTTTCATAGTTGTCAGATTGTTCTTAGCCGAAGCCAGGTAATGGCCCTGGTATTTCAAATCATTTGTGTAATTCTATATGGGACGCTGGGCCCGGTTCCCGGCACGTGTTGCTCCCCACGAATAGACTGGAGCATTTGTCCCCCCCCAAAAAAAAAGTGGGGGAGGGGGACAAAAACACTTACAGCCAGTATCGCTGTATCTGGACCGGAACTTGCGACAGTCCATTCTATTCTTCCTCTGAAGGGTGCCCGACTGGCGGCATAATCTATGGCCTCCCCAAGGGAGCAAATCCTTGGTACGGACGGGTGCTCAGAGGCTTCACCAGGACCAGAAAATGAGTTTGGATGAGGCCTCAGCCTCAGTCCCTTGCATCTGAAGGGTGACGGCCTCTGGCAGTCTCTAGGGTCTCCTGAAGGGGCCAAATGTTTGGTACGGGTACTGTTGAGTCTCCACTGGGGCCTTCTTAAGGGTGTGGGGGGGGATCGTTGAAGCGGGTACTCAGAGGCTTCAGAGGGACCAGAAACACAGGGACAAGAAAACATCACTACCGTCTTCCCCCGAACATAACGCACTCTGAAAATGAGCTTATGCAAGGCATGTTTCGGGCCCGATACAGTCAAAATGAGGGTGCGTTGTGTTCGGGCAAAGACGGTAGTGCCTTTCCCAGCTAGGAAATCAAAGTAGCCGCATGCATGCATGCTGCTGCAGCTCGCGGGAGTTACTGTGGTGGTGCGGCACCACAGTAACTCCTGCGTGCTGCGGCAGCATGCATAAGAGAGGCCCACAGTAACTCCACCGTTGTCTGGATGGATGTGCCGCAGCTCGCGGGAGTTACTGTGGTGGTGCGGCACCACAGTAACTCCCGTGAGCTGTGGCAGCATGCATGAGAGAGGCCCACAGTAACTCCCGCGAGCTGCGGCAGCATGCATGAGAGAGGCCCACAGTAACTCCCGCGAG